AGAATGTACTGTGTGTGTCCAGGTGTTATAGTGTGGTGCTGCAGGTGCCTAAAATGAGAAAAATAGTAGACAAATTTTATTTGATAAAAAGGCAAAACTTAGAGGATTCTTGCATAGAAGATAGCTGTATTAGTTGTTTGTCTTCAGGGTTAAGATGTTGGTTATGCAGCTGTTCTTGTTGGGACAGACGTTCTGCTGCAAAGCACTGTATACAGTATAGCAAGTTCTGAATTCGGGACTGGTTTAGTGAAGGAAAAAGGTATCTGTGTTCCAGTGGGTTTCACTTTGCTTTCTTCTTGATAGAACCCAGTGTGACAGAGAAACTGCTAGATGCTGGCAAATAATCCCTAGGTTTCAAACTATCCAGACAATAAACAACTCCATAATTTTCAGTGCAGCACTTTCTCTAGAGCCCATCTGTTTCTAAATAACCCTATTTCTGCTTACAGTGCAGAATACTTTGTAGGCTGGAGATTGTCCTTATTTCCATGGTGGCCTGTGCAGCTCCAGTGCCAGCTGCTGGGTGAGCCAACGATGTCTCTAGACCTGGCAGGAGCACCCACCCACTGCTGGCTGCCTCCCTGCCAAGATATGGTGTAAGGCTCCAAGATGTCATTATTTAATCACTTTCTTGCTTGCTGATGGAGACTTATGCACATAATTAAATGTGTGAATTTAATATTGTGTCCTTTTGTTTCATTTCTTGAAGGAGGAGAGAAAGGTGGCAGAGTTGTAGCTGTCATCTTGAGCATCCTTTACTAAAACGAATAGATCTGCATGGGTTCTAAATTGTATTATTTGTATTGTTCCTCAAGCATCCCTGAACTGCTTAAAGCAGCTCAGTGTGTAATGCTCTCTAGCTTTTTTGTTTTTCTCTACAAGATGCTTAGATCTTTCAAAACAGTGCTTCAAGTGTGAAACTCTGTTTATTAAAAAAATAAATAAAGCAGGTAATAGAACTTAAGTTATAAACCAGAAGTTTCTCTTGAGAACCAAAAGGATAATTAATGGGTGCAGAATTTTCGGTCCAAAGTCTCCAGTCTCCTATAAGGTATGGCTGATAGTCTTATATAATGATACATTTTTCTTTCTGCCTTTCTTGCATTTTTTTAAATGGCTGTGTTAAACATGCCAGTAACTTAAATCCAAAACTTGGAACTTGACTGGAACAGAAAGAATATGACAAACTCTAGTTTATTGAGAGATTCCCCGTGTTAATAGTATCCTTTGACTTGAGAAGACATCTGCTCAGTATTTTTGTTTTTTCTGTGTTGTTTTAGTCCAAGAGTGCAAATTTGAATAACAATCTGAAAATCTGTGTTTGTTTTGGTGTTTTTTACCTAGTAAAAATGGTCTCAGAGGTCAGCATAAACAGTTTCGCAATCATCTGTCCAAAATTGATGTTACGGTTACTGTACAAGCAGCTCCCCATGTAAATCTTGATGTAGATGAAGTGTTGAAGGAAGACTGGGAAGTGAGGGTAGGCAGATGCACTGGCAGTCCAAGCTGATGAGTTGTGTGTGACTGCTTTTCCAAGCGCAAAACATTCTCAGTTTTCTCAACTGAGAGATGCTGCTTCTTGATAGTGGGGAAAATAAATGTTAAAAAGTGAGGACAATCAGTGTTGTCACCTCCATTTCAGACTGTGTGTCTGTGAGTAATGAAATTCAAGGTTTTGATATACTGAGTAAACTTTGAACCAGTGCTTAGTGCATTATACGTTATGCCTGTAGGGGACTGTAGGTTCAGAGTAATGTGCTGTAATGTATAACTGCAGTATTTTGGGCATATTTACTTAATATTTGGATGAAAAAGTTTATGGTTATTAAAGTTGTATCTGTGTTGCACTAATGCAGGTTTAGTTAAACCAGTGGCAATTACAGACATCTTGTTTTGGTCCAAAGTCCTATAATTGTAAACTGCAGTAACAAAAAGCCCGCAAAACCCGCCAGAGTGACAGGAAAGGTGTGGAGGGTCTTGGTCTTCTTTATTCACAGAGCACAGTTCTAGTTCACAATAAAATTAATTTTAAAATATGCCGTGTAAGGGTTAGTGTGGTGTTCTAACTTTTTTGTACTATATTATTTGGTTTGATCTGTCATCTGGTGTTACAGAGGTTTTTGAAATACTTCAAATACAATCTTAAATTCCATTAGTCTTGAAATTTTTTTGCTGATGTTTCTTGCACAGAAGCCCAGGTATTGGTTAGATAAAGGTGCTAATTCATAAATCTTTTTATTGTAATTAAAGTGTCAAGGGGCTATTTTGGGTAACAGGATAATTAAAAAATACATATGTATTAAAAAAAACATGTATTTAAGCCTTCATATTCAGACAACTTCATTCTTCACTATTGTTTGAGGTAAAATGTCTTTTGAACGTAAAGCTTTTCAAAATACATTGTCAGTCTTTTTTTTTGGTTCAACATAAAATAGCATTTTATGTCTATTTACAGCATCTGATTCTATTTCTAGTGATTATTAAAGCACATCTTATATTTGAAGCGTTGAGCGTATTTTATGGAGACTCTGCAAGTATTTGTTTTAACTGTAGAAGTGGTATCTGATTTCTTAAATAAAAACTAACCAGTTATGCTATATAGAAAAAGAAATGTTTTCATGAGAAAACCTTGATATTTGATTGAAAATGTCACTACAGAAAAGAATTTAAAAAAATGCAAATATTTTCTTAATTATGAGGATTAAAAAAAAACAATAAATATAACTTCAGCTTTACACTACAGTTTTGACCCTGTTTGGTGCAGCCTCTGTGCAGTCAGGGTCATAATTAAATTACACTTCATGTATCAAAATTTCTATCTTTCAGCTATTGCTATTATTGTATTCAAAGTCTACCCGTAAAAGTCAATATAAAGACACATTAGACTTTTTAATGTTGTATTAATATTGGTATTATATATAAATAATACTATGAAAAGCCCTTAGCTTGCTGATTCTCTTTTCCATTTATTCATCTCAGGTATTACATACAAATAAAAAAAAAATTAAGAATCATAATGATTTTTGTCATAAATTTTCTTGCCATGACAACATAAACATCACTGAGAATGTTGTAATGAATTCAGTGTTATTTAACAATTTCTTTACTTACTCTTAGATGATAAGGGAAATACATGCAGATACCTTCATTTGTGTTCCAGGTTGTACCTGCAGTTCATAAATGTTGACTTCAAAAGATTTATTGTGCTTTCTCAGGCCTTTTAATTAGACATTTCTGCCCTATTATGAAAGGGTCTGATGTCTACCTTGCATTGAGTCTTCCAATGTGAAGTTGCTGGGTATTTTAAATTTCTAACTTAATGATCTTTGAGTTTTAAAAAAAACCCAGCACTGTAATCCTATGTTTTTTTCTAAGCTTGTCGTCAGTAGGACACAGAAAAACTGTTTTTTTTTTCTTTTCCAACAAACTTTCTTGTATGGATAAGAAAGTAAAATGAGGGCAAATGTAGTAAATGAATATTCAGTTCAGCTTAATTTTTTTGTTGTTCAGGAAACCATTCTGCTCACGCTGCAGACTATATTAACCAATTACTTTCATTTTTTAATCAAGGAGATTGCTCTTGCATTTAAAAAGCGTAAAATTGAGAAGCATTGTGATTAATGTGACCCATGACGAGCTCTGGGACTTCGAGTCCATGTTGGCTTTCTGTAATACTTCGAACATTTGTCAGATGATGACATAGCGCTTTCAGGGCAAAGTAGCAGCTTAAATGTTTTTCAGAATTATCTCTAGCAAGCTGAGACACAGGGAGAAGCTGAAGATAAAATCCTGGGATAGAAATTAAGTTCATTTCCTGTATGTTAATGTGAATTTGAAAAATGAGTGCATCCCATTTTCTAAACGTTCGTGTTAACGGTGCTGCCTGTTAGAGTTCCAGCATCTGTAGTTCTCTCTGGAAGCATTTTCCAAGAGTGACTTTTTGGTAAAGAAAAAAACCTTGCTATGAACATATTCTAAATATTTTCACCAAATCATACATTTATTGGTGAGTACTCTACGAGCTAAAATGCCTTTGTAATTGAATCGGAAACTAACAGTGTCACTTCTTAACTTCGACTTCCTGACTTAATGCTATGTAAACAGGCCTTCTGTGTTTGCCATGATTTCTGGTACAGGATACAGCTGTATTTGAAGTTCATCTCCAAAACAAACATAATAGTACATGACTTACTATTTGCTTTGCTAATTTAAATGAGAAGGTGTTACCTTTAAAGCTAATTTGCTTGTCCTTAACAGTGTATCTGTGCTTAGAAGGCAGACACAATGGTGTTTCCCAGAGCCCTTTAGTTGAGCAGATGTGTAACCATAATCTTAATTGTTTCTTTGCTCAGTGACTTAATGTGAATTGTGAGAGCTACTGGACTAGCCTGTTCTTGTCTTCTCTTGGGGTGCCAGGGAAGAGAACGTTGGTCTTGGTGTGCTATTTCTTCTCAGTTTAATTTGCCTACAGTTCCCTCTAACTGAGGGGCCGCATGTAGTTTATTTCTGAAATTGCTTGCTGCCAACTAAGGATGGGAGTTGTATGTGCATCTGGTATGGGTCAGCACATGTTGGACTCCAATACTAAAAGCCAAACCAAAAGCTTATTTTGTGAAAATTAAATACAGAGGCCATTTAGCTAGTTCAACAATTTCATGTTTACAGTATGAAGTAGGGTTGTGAAAAATGTGAACTAACAGATTAATACTTGTTAGATGTGGTTTGTTGGTTTGGGGTTTTTTTGTTTTGAAGGGTGGGGGTGGGGATTTTGATGGTGGCTTGGTTTTTTGTTTGGATTTTTTTTGTTTGTTTGGGGTATTTTTTTTCCACTGTCTTTCAGAGCAGTTGCTGGAAGTTGTGATTGCCCTGAAACCATCGGAACTGGAAACATTCAACTCCCTGTTTTCTTTTGTGTTGCAATGCTTTGTGCTTCCAAATAAATTTGCCTTTTTTTCATATTACAGAACAACATCATGTTTGTTTTTCGTTATGTCTTGTAGATTTTGGTGGCGCAACATATAATAATGAGCAGCGACCCTATGGGTTTTGGTTTCCACCTAACCAGCATTCAGAAGAGGAAATAAGAAGGCAAAGGCTTCGTAGGTTTGAGAGACGATGAAGTTGGCATGATGTAATTGCAAAGTGTTGATGTAATTGCAAAGTGCTCTTCAGAGTTACCAAATTGTGGATTAATTTGTAATCTGCAGATTCATTTGTAATCTTCCTTTTCTTTTTACTACTGTTTGCAAAACTGCAGAGGGTTTTGTGAGTTCAGGCTCAAAGTTGGAGCTTGCATAAAAAGTGTGAGGTAGGAAACAAAATGTGATCTTTGTCCGTCTCCATCATAATGCACCTTAAATCTGCAAGAAAACTGTGGTTTTACCATGCTGTCTTCTTTTGTGTAACTTCAACCTTGGCTTTTTGACTGCTGGTATTCTCAGACAACACCTTTTCTTCATGCATAGCAGACAAAAAACCATCAAGTTTTCTATATAACTTTAAAACTATGCAATTTTTCCTTATGAACTTTTCTGTGTTTATGATGACCAACTGGTTTTGGGATTGGCATGTGTCACTTGAAAAAGATTGCTTTGACAACAGCTGGATTATGTGATTTTTATGCTTAAACTTTTCATCAGTTTTCCAGACTGGGTGAAAATTAGCTGCAACTATCCTCACCCTGAGGAATTATTTAATACAACCTTTAATGTTGCAGTCTTCCTCAAAACGTGCCATTTTATATGGGGTCTGTACCTGATAAAACAGGGTTGTAACTACTTACGATTTCCTAAATTTCTTAATTATTTTTAATATTTAAGTAAAATAAAGCCTTTCTAAATATTTGCTTTAAATCCAAAAAAGCTTCCCTTTACAGAGTTGAAATAATTTCTTAGGAGTTTTATGGAAAGGGAAGTGTATATGCCAGGCAAAGAATATATTTATTTAGTAGCTTAGACTTTTTCAAAGCATCTATTTTCCTGAGTTAAGAAGGCTTGGAGATTGTATTTTGTCTATGTTCATGCAGCCTTAAAAATTTTATTTCTTTATATGTATGTCATTATGTCCAATAGCAGCACTAAGAGTCTGAAGACTTCTGGAAATCTTGTCTAAATAGGCTACCTTGAATTTGTCATTTTGTAAAAGGCTCTCTTTATTCAACTCTTGAGTAGCTGATAGGAAACCAGAGAGCTCAGCTGTCTCTTTGGACAGACCCTCCCAACTGCTGCTTGTCACAGTGGCTGTCCTGCATGTGGCATACCTGCCTTCTCAGTAATGTTAACTAATGAACCGGAAGGCTTTCTGTTCTAGTATGAGTGTGAAAAATTGCTGTTGCCCAGTCATTTTACTCTCAGAAGGAAATTCTTCCTGAATTAGGGACGCTCCTCCATAACTATTTTCAGTCCTGAAGATGTGTGATTGCACAAGAATTAGATTACTGACTTTTGGCGCAGACCTGTTGGAATTTCTTCATCAGCACTGATTGAGAGCATTAGGATGAGCAATATAATGGTTTCTTTTCAGGTACATGCCATCACCAACCTGTGCTTTATGGAGTTACAGTTTGAATGTAAATAAGTGCTGTATTTTTCATAAAGAAAAAATCCTGAAACCAAGTTTTTTTACTATGCTCTTTATTTAAAGAGTACACCTTCTTGTTTGTAACTAATGTCTGTAGAGGAAGCGTTTGTTTATTTAAAAATACACAAGCGGTTCTCTCTCCTGTGTCATTCTCCTTTTTACCATTCTTTTTATGTATGTATTGTGGATTTTTATGCCAAGAAGCAGCACAATATTGTTAAACAAACTCTGTGGGTCGAGATTCTGAGAGCCAAAAGACATGGCTGTAGTGTGACTTTGGGTGTCTCATTCAGGTAGTGTAAGAACACTGTTAATACTATGCAAAGTGCTTTCTGGCATATTCTAAGACAGCTAATTTTTGTTCTGTTCTTGGGCTTGTTGTTGTTTTTGTATATATGCAATAGCCATAGAATAAACCAGCAGATACTTTTATAGTAGGGTAACTTTTGCTAAAAATAAGAAATAAAAAACTCCATAGAGTTTGCATATTTTTCTCAGTGGGTAATAATTCGACGCAAATGAGGAGGAAGCAGCATTGGTTCCTCAGACTAACCTTTTAATGCTGTGGTCGGAAGTTTCAGTGTAACTTACTGTGTCTGTTAAACTGTTATTTTTAATGATTTAAAACCTCTGGATGAGCCCTTAGTCAGTTGAAAAAACATATTCAAGTAAAATAAAAAAACTGATTACAGTTTTAATAGCACTTGTTTTTGTAAAGTGAGGCTAGAAATACTTGTCATTAAATATTCACAAAAATTGTTGGTATGAATAATTGTTCAGCTGGTTTGACTTTTTTCTATGTAAAATTGAAATAAATATTTTTTTACATTTAAAACTCTTTGGTTTTCATTATAGTAATTAATAAGGTGTATATTTTAAATGACAGAGCTGCTTCAGTACTGTTAGAAATGAAGACTTGTGATACTGAGGGGGCAGATTGATTATGTTGGGACTAATTTTACTTCTTTTGAACTGTGGAAGTATTGGGATTGGATTATTATTGGGTAAGTTCTGGTACTTAGAGTATTTGGGAAGTTCCTGAACAGAATGATTCCTGCTTGTTGCAGGGGAGTTGCACTAGAAGACCTTTGAAAGTCCCTTCCTACTCAGACTACTTTATGATTCCTTAGTAGGATTTTTACCATTAAAAACCCCATCAGTTTAGTTTCAGAGCACTATGTATGGTAGATGCAAGTTGCAAATGAACTCCTAACATATGCTCTCCTGCACTTCATATCCCCAGGGACAAAAATTAAGGGCAGTGTATGAAGGTGAGTATTCCACATTGTGTATTCTTTGAGGCCATTTAGTGCCTGACTAACCCTCCTTAAAATAAGGGTTATTTAAGGGAAAGTAGTTTTGTATAAAATATTTCAGCATCTGAAGTTTGATTCCTTTGTTGCGGGAGCTGTGGGTTCTTGTGATTTTTCCCGTACTTCCTCTAAACTCTGTGATCAGGTACTGTGTAAGGAATTCCACCCCCTTAATTAATCCTAATCAGCAGACTTGTTAACAGGCACATTCTTGAAATGTAATGGTTGAATGACCCATCATATCACTGCTAATAAATAGGGGTTTCTTGCAGTCCAGGATTAAGATGTGATGAAAGAAGAGTGTGTTTAACTCCTAAAATTCTCTTCCCTCTTCCCTCTAAGAATGGGGAAATTGTGTATTCTTGTGTATGTATGTTTTTCTTTTTTCTTGGCAGTACCATTTCTCTTAAGGGGGATAAACTGCCATTTAAAATACTGAGAACAGCATTTGCACGTGTTTCGCACCACAGTGGGAGAGCCTGTGCTAGGTGAGTGTAGGCAGAAAATGAGAGCCAAATCTGTTGTGCATCCTCAAATTGGCATCTTGGTGCTAGGGAGAGGGATAAAGGGAAAGAGCACATGGATTCTGTCATTCCAGCCTCCTCTTAGAGAACTTCTGTCTGAAGCTTTGTTTTTGGTGGCTGCCTCTCAAACAAGGTTTCTCTACTTGCTTGGTGCAAATGAAACCTGGGATTTTCATGGTCCATTTTTTTAAGATTGTTTTTCACATATGCCTTAAGAACACTTCAACTCCATTGTTATAAAGGGTGAGGGGAACCCCCAATTCAGAAAAGTTGTATTTTTTGGAGGGTGGTGGTTTTTGGTTGGTTTTTTGTTTGGTTTTTGGCTTTTTTTTGTTGTTGTTTGTTTTTTTTTTAGTTCTGTTTTAGTTGCAAGTGAAAGGGAGAATTTAACTCTTGACATGCACAGCATCGGCTAGGTTGGAAAAGACCTTTAAAATATAACTTGTCCATACCACAGTATACAGATAAGGAAAACGGAGCTTAAGTATTGGCTCATCAAATAAGTGATGTATATAAAGGTCTGTGGAATGATGATGTGGCTGGGTAGAGAAGGAAATTCTCTATTGAAACAGACCTTCCCAGGAGACCATTTTGATTGAGCTGATGCAAGTCCCAGTTTTGATAGCTCCAAAAGAGGAAAGAGAGTATACCTGATATATATTAAGGAGCTTAAATTGCAGATGATAAGAACAAAGCAGCTGTGAGCATTGTTGGTCCAAGGTAGTTAATCAAATAAAGGCAAAATGACTTGCCTTTTTTCCTCTGTAGTAATTGCATGATTGGAAATGCTTGCAGGACAAAAGTAACTTCTCTTGCTGTCTGTCATTATGATACCCATATATGCTAAGTGGAGATACTCTTAAAATACAGAAAGAGCTGTTGAACCTTTAAACCTGCTGACCATGGAAGTTAATGGGTGTGCAGTGTCTGAAGCCTGCATGACGAGTCTGAGTGGAATTTGAATCGGCAGCTGGAGAACCAGGTGAGGTGCAGCTGCCTTTTCTGTCGTTGTGATGTGACGGGAACCGGTGCTGCAGTTCATTTTCCTGTCTGATTCTGTGACTGCTGAATTGTAACAATTGTTGTTTAGCAGTGAACGACTGAATCACACTTCAACAGAACAGCTGGCTAACACATTTCTGGTTTTGTGCTGTGGCTTCCTGAAGGAGCGTGCAGACGTGAGGGCAGAATCATTTTGTGTGTTTATTGTAACCCTCTAATTGCTTACTATGTATAAAAAAATAAATTGGTAATTTCTTCTTTGTTACCAGATTTCAGAGGGCAAGAAAATATTAACAATTCTCAGCTTTCAATTGTAGAACTGTTTCTAAAGGAATATCATGTTTTCTAAAGGTTCCAAGTCTTGTAATGAATGCTGATACGCATTTGTTCTTTCAGGAGCTGTGAAAATTAGGAGGTAGTTTGCCATGCAAATGTAATATGGCTTGGGTATTTTGTTTATATGATGTGCTCAGAATGGTAAAGCAATTGGATTAGTAAAGGAGAAGATGGGAGTACCCATGTGGTAGCAGTCTTCTGCTGCATGAGAACAGTGATAAGTTCATCTCTCTTGTCCACTGAGAAGAAGGAATTGGCCTCATTAGCAGCAAAATGAATGCAAGGAAAGGAATTCTAAACATGTAGATAGTGGACTTTTCAAATAGGCTAGGGATAATCTGGAATTTCCTTCTTTAGTCGTTGGAGCAGGTTAAACATTATCTCTCTCTTCGGGGCAGTTGAGCAGGTAAAACAGTAAATGTTATTGCCTTAGTGCAGAATGTTGCATTACCTTAGGTCCTTCACCAAACTATTACTTACAGGGATCATTTAAGAGCTATTGGTGGGTGGACCACTTCTGTCAACCTGAATTTTCCTTGCCCGCACAGCAAGTTAAAGAATGTCTTATAAATCTGCACAATATATCAGAAGCTGAGGCTTCCGACTGTATTAAAATACACATTATTCATTCCTTTTTCCCTGCTACATGTATCTACAGAACTGAAATCCAGAATGAGGAATATCATCTCTAGGTGAACTTCCAGTACCTTGTGGAACATCTGGATGAAGTGACTAGAAAACAGGTTGAACATGAATATGGGGCAGTATCTGTTTGAATGCTGATGGTCATTTTGGTTTTTTCCCCTTTAGGCTCATTTCCCAGCTGGTCAAGGTGGGCAGGATTTCAAGGGTTGTTTTTGTTGTTTGGTAGGTGGAAAATGCGGATTCTGGAACAAGAGCCAGTCACGAAAGAGATCTCCATCTTGATGAAGCAACTGCTTCACCTGCTGGAAAGTTGTCAGAGTTTTCAGAAACTTTTTATCATTGCAGGGTGAAGGCAGAGGGGCTGTGTCCTTGCCCGACTGCTGCTCCAGCTTTGGAGCAGTCCTTCTTCTTGCAAATGACTGTTCCCAATTACAGATCTTCCCTGTGGTCTTGAATGGTTTTTGTCTTTCTTGCTCAGAGGTTTCCAAAGCATGGAAAGCATTAGAACAGAAGCCCTCATCTTTGCAATCTTCACATATGGCATATGGAATTAAATTAAAAGCTATTGAAGGATTGCTTGCGAGACCTCAGAAGGCCAGGCACCAGGCTGGGGTGGCAATGGAAAGTGGTGTTATTTGCAGTGGTCACTGTGACGCAACAATAAATAAAGTCCCCAGGTGAATGGGGTGAATTGTATTTCCCGAGTCTGCATTATGACAAAACTTAATGAATAGCTGAGGGCTGATGATGTGCTCTTGCATGCTGTCCCAGAGAGCTGCCCAGCCACTGCAGACTGGCAATCTCCAGCTGTGTACCAGGAGCAGAAGGCCTGATGCAGATCAAATTTAGGTTTTCCTCAATAGTGTGCTTTAAGACATTAGGGGTATCTTTTTCAAACAAGTAAACAACTTGGGTTGATGGATAAAAGGTTTGTCTAATTTACTTTAAACACTGACAAAAACATGTATGGACTAGAAGAATTCTGTTGGTTTTGTCTGCTTTTGTACTTTTCTTTGTTTTTCTCTGGTGCTTATGAACCAGCCAAAGTAGGAAAGAACTGTTTGGTTAAGAGTTTACCTTGGAAGAATTCCTCGGTTTTGCTTAAACTTGTTGCACATAATAATGCAATTCTGGGAATGAGTCTTTAAGCAGCTTTCTGATCTGAGGAATCCAAGGTCTGGAGGAGGTAGGTACTCCATGGCAGAGCAGGCACATCCCTGAGGGGACTGGGGCCCTTGGAGGACCTGTGCCAGAGCAGGTACTCCCTCAAAAGGACTGCAGCCCATGGACGACCAGTGTCAGAGCACAGGAAAGGAGAAGGAAAGAGCAGCACAGAGAAACCCCTTTGTGCCTGGCACACACCCACCCCACACCCCCTCCCACCCCACACCCCGCCATTTTGCTCCACCTCTAGCTGAAGGAACCCGTACCAATAACAAGGGGGCAGAGAGGAGCCTGGGGTGAAGCTGAGCCTGAGAAAGTGGGAGGAAAGGTCTTATAAGGTTTGGCAACATGTTTCCCAAA